CAACTTGATCGTAGATCTTTAGAAATTCTCTATCTGTCATACATCAGACCTATTTTAGAATACGCCGATAACTGTCTTTATAAATTGTACTCAATATAGAAAAATGAACTTGATAAAACCCAATACGAAGCTTCTCGAATTGTCTCTGGTGCCAGTAAACTTGTTTCTCTGGATGGGCTCAAACGAGAAGTTCCTTGGGAATCTTTAGAGTCTAGACGAAGGAAGCACAAATTCATACTTCTTTACAAAATGAAAAATGGACTCTCCCCAAACTACCTATCATCTCTTGTTCCCCCTTCAGTAGGTGAGACATCAAGATACAATCTTCGCAACTCAAACGATTTTAACGGTATACGAACAAGAACTTCTCTGTATTGAAATGCTTTTCTTCCTTCTGCTCTAAGAGACTGGAACGATCTCCCTGCTGAATTACAAAATGCACCTTCACTATCATCCTTTAAGAGTCTTCTGCATGGCGACCTATCAAAATGTCCAAAATATTTTTATACAGGTATCAGAAAATGGCAAATATACCATGTACACCTATGAACTGAGTGGAGTCCTCACAACTATCACTTATTCAGAAAAAATATAACAAACTCACCACTGTGTCAATGTGGTCTTCCAGAAACAAATTACCACTTTTTCTTTGAATGTCAACAATACAATAATATCTGAAATATCCTCTTTCACACTTTATTGGCTTATTTTATTACATGCTTTTCGGTGGTTTATAGAAATATATCAGTGATATAAAACTGGTAATTTCACTGTTTGAAACAGTGAAATTACCACTTTGATAATTTCACTGTTTTGAATTTAAGCCCCTTACGTTGTTTCAGTGAAATACCAGCGTGCACAGTACTGGGTACCAACTTAATGACGTGACGTCGTAAATGACATCACGTTGTATTATTATTTGGCGCGCTTTTCATATAGTATTAGGTTTAATGTCTTTTTAAAACGTTTCTTTGCATATAATAAAAAGAAAATTTGTTTAGTTTAGTGCAAGATCGAAATATATTTCACCTTGTGAACACCAAAAGTTCAAATTTCACTCGTGGCTGCGCCACTCGTGAAATATACCTTTTGGTGCTCACTCGGTGAAATATATTCCGATCTTACACTGAACTAAACAAATATCCTCTATGTTATGTTACTCTCCCCATTTTACTGAGAGGTGATAACAACTTAAGTGACGTCATAAACACCAGTATAAAATTCAGGCAGTTCAAATATATATCCGAGATAGTAAACGTTTTCCATAGTCCTTTGCAAACTCTGCTCACTCCGTTGACATACCGAATAGATTCTATAATAATATCTTTTCCTTAATATAGTGTATTTGCACCATTTTTACTGAATCAATCTCATCATTTTCTGACCATCAATCTCTATAATATGTTTTTATGCCCCCACAGAGTGGGAGTTCTAGTTTTTGTGTGTGTCATTTCACTAGGTCACAGTATTAGCATTTTAAAACATATTATAGCATGATTTCCTATCTAACTTATTTTAACTATATTTTTTTTTTTTACTAGACACTTTTGCCGTCCTCGTCTTCATCATCAATAAAATGATATACTATTTCAAACATGTAATTTACCTCCAGATTCACAATAATGAATTATATGTTAGGAACAGACCTCTATAAGCATTGTATGCTTTCGGATCTAATCCTTTTTCAGCATTGTTTATTATGTAACTCATAATGATTGTATGTAATAAATGTTTGTGTGAAAATGTTTGAAATAAAATATGTTTAAACTAACAACATGACTGTACCACGTATTGGCCTTCTCCGTGAATGAGTAAAAAGCTGCTCCGTTAAGGAAAATACGCTTGTGACGTCGTTAACGTCAATTTAAAAGTTATACCGTGCGCCTCATTGCTTGACATATACATGCCAATAACAGCATAACTTTTTTCTTTGTTAATATTTCTTGTTGGTATTTTTTGTATCATTCAGGGGATATATTCCGATTTATTTTCCGTGTATTTTTATGTAAATTCATTTAACGAGTAAAGAATCATTTACAAAGTCCGGTTAATTTTTGATCATTCCTTGTATACAATAAATATTTTAATTATACAATATATATTTTCAAATATAGAACATACATATAGAAAATTATCGCACACAATTATTTTTTTATGATGAACAAATATTCAGCAAGATTGAATAAATATGTATGATATAGAATATAAAATTAGAGTTATACGATATAAAAAAATTGGATATAGAACAAAAATTTAATTTATTGAATTTTGCAACGTTTAACATGCCATATAAATCAATTATCAATTTATTTCATATTTATACACAATATCTTTCAGGTCAGGACCTTCATATATATCAAGGTCAAATTGAAATTGAATGTCAAATTACTAATTTTCAGTGATTATTGCTATAATTGGCTGTAACGTTCGTTAACACTCTAGCGGTCACATTTTTGCCTCAATCATCATCAAACTTTGTCAGGATGCTTTTCTACTTGATAGCTCGGATGAGTTCGAACATGGGTCATGTTGGATGAAAAATAGGTCACAGGAGCTAAAAATAGAAAAACCTTGTGAACACTCTAGCAGTCACATTTTTGCCTCAAGCATCATTAAACTTTGTCAGAATTCTTGACTAGGTGATAGCTCGGATGAGTTTGAGCATGGGTCATCTCGGATGAAAAAGTAGGTCACCGGAGAAATAGAAAAACCTTGTTATTACTCTAGCGGTCACATTTTTGCCTCGAGACCGCCTCGGTGGTCGAGGGGTTAGAGTCTAAGACTTCTAATCAAATTACCTCTCTGGCGTGGGTTCGATCCCCAGGAGATGCTTTGGTAGTTTAGCACGTAGGAAGGTAGTCTAGTACTGGTGTAACTCTCAAGGAACGATGGTTAGGAAACTACCCGCCTATATGACTGAAATACTGTTGGTAAAAGGTGTAAAATGAAACAAACAAACATTTTTGCCTCAATCATCATTAAACTTGGTCAGGATGCTTGTCTAGGTGATAGCTCTAATGAGTTCGAACATGGGTCATCTCCGATCAAAAACTAGGTCACAGGAGCTTAAAATAGAAAAATCTTGTTAACACTCTAATGGTCACATTTTTGACACAATTGTCATCAAACTTGGTCAGGATGCTCGTCCAGGTAATTGCTTGGATGTGTTCGAACATGGGTCATCTCGGATGAAAAACTAGGTCACAGGAGCTAAAAATAGAAAAATCTTGTTAACACTCTAGTGGCTAGTGGCTACTGTTATGATCCAAATATCCTATAAATTGGTCTGAAAGTTTGTTTTGATGATTTCTAGGACTGGTTCTTCTCTGAATAAACAAAGGCTAGAGGTTAGGTATTTTGCATGAAGCATTGTGTAATAGACCTCTACCAAGATTCTTAAAATTATAGTTCTGGGGTTAAAATTGGACCCGCCTGGGAGTCCTTGATTTTTACTATGTACATAGAGTAAAAACTTAAAAAAGCTTCTTGTGAAGGTACAAGGCTTAGAGCTTTGATGTTTGGTATATAATATCATCTTTAGGTCCTCTTCCAAACTTGCTCAAATTTTGCCTCTAGTGTCAAAATTGGCCCTACCCTGCGGGGTCATAGGTTTTCCTTATAATAATGTAGTAAAAACTTAAAAAATCTTTTCTCTGAATTGACAAAGGCTAGAGGTTAGATATTTTGCTTGAAACATTGCAATAGGGACCTTTACTAGATTGTTCAAATTGTAGCCATGGGGTCAAAATTGGCCTGCTCCGGTGGTCAATGATTTTCATTTTGTGCATGTTATAGCAAAAACAGAAATTAAAACAAATGGTTTTTGAATAGGAGAAAGCTAGAGCTTAGATATTTGACATGAAACATTGTCTGGTGGAACTGTATCAAGATTCTTTGAATTTAACCCTTTTGTCAAAATTTTTTCCTGCCCAAGTGGACAGTAACCTACTTTCTTGTCCTTTGATGTACAGCCATGAAATTTGGACCGTGTGCACAGTTTGAGATTTAAAATTGAATTTTGATATCAGCTGACCTAGATTTTGATGATGTGACCTACTTTCCTGTCCTTTGATGTACAGTCATGAAATTTAGGCCATTGACCACCAAATTCTGTAGAGTCAACTGCGTTATAGCAAGGTTCAATTGTATAGAAACAAAAACTCTTCTGTTCCTACATTACTATTTAGTGTTGTATTATATAAAGCATAGCATAGCATTTTCACAAATGCAATCTTTTTTTCTTCTTTAATTTTCTTTTTAAAGATTTGTTTAAACCGTTTATTTGTTTGATTTTAGAAAACTTAAAAAAAATCGAGCTTTGCCCACGCCTGGTGGTCGGTTCTGTTGAATTTTGCTGAATTAAGCAACTTTGTTATTCATTAAGAAATTTTATTTTAAACTTAGCCAACTTTTGACCAACTGAGATGCTCAAGAATTCAAATATTATCTTAAAGCTTTAAATGACCTTGACCTAAATTGGCTAAATTTTGATATTTATCTTTGGGTTCTGATTCATACAAAACGATATTTGTGACCCAATCTTGACATTAAAATGATCTTGACTGAGTTGTGATAACTTTTGCAGTATCTTAAGGATTTTATTCATACTTGAACAAAACAACACTTACAGCCACACAGACATTTGGAATTGTTCAAGTTTGTCCATGACATTTAAGTGATAATGATCATGTTGTTGAATTTTGTTCTAATTGCAATAACTCATAACTTTGTTATTAATGGTCTGATATGATTCATACTTTGAAGAAGCAACTTTTAATGACTGTGTTCATAGACATGTTAAATAATTCAAGAACAGTAAACCTTGCTTATGACGTCATTCTGGGGACCTCTCAATTTATATCTTTATAACCAGATATTGTTCTATTCGAGGGGTAACTCAATTTATATCTTTATAACCAGATATTGTTATATTTGAGGGGTAACTCAATTTATATCTTTATAACCAGATATTGTTCGATATTGTTATATTTGAGGGGTAACTCAATTTATATCTTTATAACCAGATATTGTTATATTCGAGGGGTAACTCAATTTATATCTTTATAACCAGATATTGTTATATTCGAGGGGTAACTCAATTTATATCTTTATAACCAGATATTGTTATATTCGAGGGGTAACTCAATTTATATCTTTATAACCAGATATTGTTATATTCGAGAGGTAACCAATTGGACAACAAGTGTTGGGACCACAGCAACAGCATCGTTATAAGTGATGTCATTATAAGGGAGGAGTTTACTACACACTGCATGAACTTGATCTGTAAATGACCTTAACTATCAATATTGATAAAATTTTAGATACTGTATGAGTATAAATGTACCTGAATTTACTGTGGTCAACAACAGATGAAAGTAGTGGGCATTATTGTTTATTTTGTCAAATATGATTGATCAATTTTATGTTGATTATAGTGTATTATTCTGTATAATTAGGTTGCAGTTGGAAATGTTTGCATGTGATGAAGGATAAAGTGGTAGTGTTTGCTCATCCTCTATTACCTGGTAGTCCAAATAGGATGAGTCAGGTAATCATTTTTAATTACAGTGTATTTAATGTATAGACAGAAAGCACCATCACAAGTGCATAATTATCTTACTGAATAAAAAAAAGGAAAAACTTTTTTTCTTTAATTTTTAGCTCACCTGTCACAAAGTGACAGGGTGAGCTTTTGTGATCGCTTTTCGTCCGTCGTCCGTCCGTCGTCCGTAAACTTTTACTTTAAATGACATCTCCTCATAAACCACTAAGCCAGTTTCATCCAAACTTCACAGGAATGTTCCTTTGGTGGTCACCTTTGAAAATTGTTCAAAGAATTTAATTCCATGCAGAACTCTGGTTGCCATGGCAACCAAAAGAAAAAACTTTAAATATCTTCTTCTAAAAAACCCGAAGAGCTAGAGCTTAGATATCTGGTATGAAACATCTTCTAGTGAGTGTCTACCAAGTTTGTTCAAATAAAAGCTCTAGGGTCAAAATTGGCCCCGCCCCAGGGGGTCATTGATTTTCCCTATATGCATATAGTAAAAACTTAAAAAATTTCTTTTAAAGAACCCAAACAGCTAGAGCTAAGATATTAAGCACGAAGCATCTTCTAGTAAGTGTCTACCAAGTTTGTTCAAATAAAAGCCCTGGGGTCAAAATTGGCACCGCCCCAGGGGGTCATTGATTTTCCCTATATGCATATAGTAAAATTTAAAAAAATTTCTTTTAGAGAACCCAAAGAGCTAGAGCTAAGATATTTAGCATGAAACATCTTCTAATGGGTGTCTACCAAGTTTGTTCAAATAAAAGCCCTAGGGTCAAAATTGACCCCGCCCCGGGGGACATTGATTTTCCTTATATGTGTATAGCAAAAACTTAAAAATCGTCTTTGAAAAAACCTGAATAGCTAGAGTTTAGATATTCAGCATGAAACATTTTCTAGTTAGTGTCTACAAAGATTAAATAAATAGTTAAATAAAAGCCCTTGGGTCAAAACTGCCCCTGCCCCAGGTGTGTCATTGTTTTTAGCTCACCTGTCACAAAGTGACAGGGTGAGCTTTTGTGATCGCTTTTCGTCCGGTGTCCGTCCGTCGTCCGTCCGTCGTCCGTCCGTCCGTAAACTTTTACTTTAAATGACATCTCCTCATAAACCACTAAGCCAATTTCATCCAAACTTCACAGGAATGTTCCTTTGGTGGTCACCTTTAAAAATTGTTCAAAGAATTTAATTCCATGCAGAACTCTGGTTGCCATGGCGGCCGAAAGAAAAAACTTTAAATATCTTCTTTTAAAAAACCATAAGAGCTAGAGCTTAGATATTTGGCATGAAACATCTTCTAGTGAGTGTCTACCAAGTTTGTTCAAATAAAAGCCCTGGGGTCAAAATTGGCCCCGCCCCGGGGGGTCATTGATTTTCCCTATATGCATATAGTAAAAAATTTATAAATCTTCTTTTAAAGAACCCAAAGAGCTAGAGCTAAGATATTTAGCATGAAACATGTTCTAAATGGTGTCTACCAAGTTTGTTCAAATAAAAGCCCTGGGGTCAAAATTGGCCCCGCCCCAGGGGGTCATTGATTTTCCTGATATGCATATAGTAAAAACTTAAAAAACCTTCTTTTAAAGAACTCAAAGAGCTATGGCTAAGATATTGAGCATCAAACATGTTTTAATAGGTGTCTACCAAGTTTGTTCAAATAAAAGCCCTGGGGTCAAAATTGGCCCCGCCCCAGGGGTCATTGATTTTCCTTATATGCATATAGTAAAAACTTAAAAAATCTTCTTTTAAAGAACCAAAAGAGTTAGAGCTAAGATATTTAGCATGAAACATGTTCTAATAAGTGTCTACCAAGTTTGTTCAAATAAAAGCCCTGGGGTCAAAATTGGCCCCGCCCCGGGGGGTCATTGATTTTCCCTATATGCATATAGTAAAAACTTAAAAAATCTTCTTTTAAAGAACCAAAAGAGTTAGAGCTAAGATATTTAGCATGAAACATGTTGTAATAAGTGTCTACCAAGTTTGTTCAAATAATAGCCCTGGGGTCAAAATTGGCCCCGCCCCGGGGGGTCATTGATTTTCCCTATATGCATATAGTAAAAACTTAAAAAATCTTCTTTTATAGAACTCAATGAGCTATGGCTAAGATATTTAGCATCAAACATGTTCTAATAGGTGTCTACCAAGTTTGTTCAAATAAAAGCCCTGGGGTCAAAATTGGCACCGCCCCGGGGGTCATTGATTTTCCTTATATGTGTATAGCAAAAATTAAAAAATCTTCTTTGAAAAAACCCAAATAGCTAGAGTTAAGATATTAAGCATGAAACAGCTTTTAGTGAGTGTCTACAAAGTTTGTTCAAATAAAAGACCTGGGGTCAAAATTGGCCCTGCCCCGGGGGTCATTGATTTTCTTTATATGTGTATAGCAAAAACTTAAAATCTTCTTTGAAAAAACGCAAGTAGCTAGAGTTTAGATATTAAGCATGAAACATCTTCTAGTAAGTGTCTTCAAAGTTTGTTCAAATAAAAGCCCTGGGGTCAAAACTGGCCCGGCCCCAGGGGTGTCATTGTTTTAAACTATATGTGTATAGTAAAAACTTCAAAAAAATCTTCTTTTAAAAAGCCCAATGAGCTAGAGCTTAGATGTTTAGCATGAAACATCTTCTTATGGGTGTCTACCAAGTTTGTGCAAATAAAAGCCTTTGGGTTAAATTGGCCCTGCAATGTTGGGGGGAGATGGGGTTGGGGGGGGGGCCTATATACAGGTGAGCGACCTCAGGGTCATCATGGCCCTCTTGTTAACTATATGTGTAAAGAAAAAACTTGACCAGCTAGACCTTAGATGTTTAGCATGAAACATCTTCTAATGGGTGTCTTCCAAGTTTGTTCAAATAAAAGCCCTGGGGTTTAAACTGGCCCACGCTCCGGGGGCCTATATACAGGTGAACGACTTCAGGGCCATCATGGCCCTCTTGTTTTTTTAAAGATTTGTTTAAACCGTTCATTTGTTTGCTTTTAAAAAAAGTAAATAAGTTAAGTATTGCCACTGCTGGGCGGTGGCTCTTATTGCATTTAAGAATTGTAATCGCCAGTGTAACTTTTTCTAGCAATGTATCTCAAGTGAGCGATCTTGGCCTATCTGATGACAAGAAGAACTGCAAGTACATGTAGGAATTTTCAAATTTTGTCGAGAGCTCAATTATCTTACAGTCAATACCATTTTTAACAAAATTTATGTAAATCTTATTAATGTTTTACATTTTGGATCTTAACAGTGATAACACGATTTAAAAAAAAATCTTTCAGATTAATTAATTGATACATAATGATACCCCCAACCCCAGTAGTTATAATGGATTCAATGAATAAAGTAATTTGAGCATACACATGCTTTCTTGACTCTTGAATCTCAAGATTATATTTCTTATATTACATTATAAATGAATGACCAAACAACATTATATAATTAAAAAAAAATGCCAAAAAAAAAAAAAAAAGAAATCTGTGAAGGATTTCCTACTGCTTGATCATTTTTGTGGGCTTTGTATCAAATTAATGCTCTGAATTACATAATACTAAGTAATTTCAACCAAGGGTTTTGTGTCATTTAGCATGGATATCTATGCAAAGAATTTACTTGTTTTATTTTTTGTTGTCAGCTTATGAAAATGTTAAATAGAAAGAGACAGTCAATGGGGCAAGGAGTTAGTATTAGCAGTTACTTCAAGAAAATTCCACCTAACACAATGTCACAAAATGTTTCCAGCTTGCATTCAACAGTGCCAGAATCATCTATGTGTTATACTGACTCCTCTCCCCAAAATTCTCAGGAAATGGATTTGCTAAAAGAAGCACCAATTGAAGGACACAGGAGCAAAATCAAGAACATGTTAGTTTGAAAACTTATTGGACAATGTTTTTAGTCATCGTAATAAGAAAATGTAAATATTTTGTTAAAGTGAATTGGGCTAAATAATGGTAGGTCTGTAAAACCATAATAAAAATATCTGTCATATGTTGCGGTTCAGATCGGAATATTCATCCACTGGGGACCAAGCCCAATGGGCGGTAACAAGGCTTGCCGAGTTACCGCCCATGGGCAGGTTCCCAAGTGAAGGATATTCCGATCCGAATCGCAAACATGTCAGATATTTTTTCTTGCATATTCTGCCATATTATTTAATATTTAAAATGGTTTACCTCAATAAGATATTTGTTCCTGGAAATTAAAGCCATTCCATCCATAACTATTTTTTTACAATAGCGTATGAATTTACAACATTAATAACAACGGAGAAAGGACGTTGTCCTAAGCACATAGTTCCCTTCTAAAATGATGTCATTTCAACGCGGTTCATTCATAAAATGCACTTAAATGACGTTGTTGTATGACACGCAACTCATCTGGCATGAAATTTCCGGCATGAAAACTCACAGAAACGCCAGTCTGCTATGCAAGAAATAATTATTTTGATAGTATTAAGTACAATAACATAGCAAATTTATTGAAATCTATGTAATTCTTACTGAATATATCTTATTTGAATAAAAAATGAATAAACTATGTATAGGAAGCTGTATTTCCAATTACAGGTAAAGTAAAGTTGGTCTTTTCTTTAAAAAACTGCCAGTTGTTTTAATGGCACTACTAGTTTCCTGGCATTTTCTGGCCCCAAAATGCACTTTTTAACGCATATAAAAAAAAGTCTGTCTACAGATGAGTACAGAACAAAGTTAAGAATCTGTCCAGCATAACCATGTTTTCAATGTTGCTCTTTTACTTTACTTTTTAATTGGAATATAGGCCTGAATGTAACACCTTTTCTCACTTTTAATTGAAATTTCAAAGCAGTTTTTCGGACTTTTTTATATTGAATATAATTTAGTACCAGTAAGACATTTTAAGATGATTTTATCAAAGAAATAGAACTTCCCAACCTTTTATGTGTTGTCTGCAAATATTCTGTTCAAAAGTTTTGATCTTGATTAGTGTCTCAGTTATTGTACATGGGCATTCAAACTAGAATGTCGCAAGTTCTCTAAGGTAACGTTAAACAACAGGCAAAATCTCAAAACATATAAATCACTGTATAAGTTTAACTGCTGTGTTGCATAGAAAACAAATGTCTCTCTAATTTGATGAAGTGATATAGATGCCCTACTGGTAAAAGAAGACTGTACTGGACGAAAATGATAAAGGGCCAGAAAACTGCTAGGAGCTGGAAACTGCTAGGAAACCAGTATATATTCATATTGTGATCATTTATAGCCTGTAGGATTTTAAACATAACATATCTACTTTGTGTGAAGTCAAAACATGGTTATTTTTTATTTACAAAAAGACTGTGTTGCAATTTTCAATATTTTCTTATATATGAAATAATATAGATGATTATTGAATAAAAAATTAATAAACTATTGAAAAATTTTCAATATTTTCTTATATTAAATTTTATCAAAGTATAAAAGAGATTTTCTAAAAAGATCATTGACAAATTTTCTGTAATTGATTATTTAGATTCCTTATGCAATCACTTATGGTTTTAATTGATGTTCATTAAAATTTTGAATAGTGTAAATATTTAAAATTTAGCCTCAACATTTAAAATTCTACTTTATCACAAATCTCAGATTTTTTATAGCATGTTTTAATGTTTATTTTTAGATTAAAGAAAGGTGAGGTTGGATTTTCAAGAAAACATAGGAAAAAAAATCTAAATTTGAGAGTTGAGCAGTTAGGTGAAGGTGCTAGTGAGTGCATAAAAACTGATGAAACTTTAGTGAATGATAAACATTGTCAGCAAGATAAACAGTCTTTAATAATAGAAAATGTTAATGAAAACATACCAGTCATAGAAAAATTAGATGAATTTTATGGAAGAGATGTCGAAATTAACGAAATTTGTAAGAGCGAAAAGAGTGAAGAGTACTCTGAAAAGTCATTAATATTAGGAGATGTTCAAATTAGTTCAGTAAACATAAACTGTGATGAGGTAAAACACGGAAATTCTATATTTATAACCAATAAAGAACAAATAATTGACTATAAAACAGAAAAAAATTGGCTCCAACCTAAGAGAGGTCTATGTTTGACTAGTGTGTCTGATTCTGGAGATGAAATGTTGTATAAACAATCAGATGTTCTATCTAATTCCTTGGATGAACTGCTGGCACTTCCATCAACAAATACTGTAACAATAGAAACTGACCAAATATCAAATAAACCAGACATGGAAATTGTTGACACTAATTTGCAGTCATGCGAGGCAGATAAAGACTCTGATTTAGTCACAGATTCACCAAAATTTGGAAGAAAAAACCCAGAAGTAGAAACAGACATAAAATCTGGTTGTAGCTCAATGAAGCAATTGAAAGATGAAGGAAAAATCATTAACTTAAATGAAAAAGTTTTGAAACATGAGGATTTGAATTCTACTTTGAAGAAACATAATACAGTATATAAACGCAAGATAAAAAGAAAATTTCCAACATTTTCATCAGATTCTGATTCTGATACAAACTTACCACTAAAAAAGGTGAAAACAAACTGTGAAAAGTTTGTTAATTTCGAAAACATGAAAAGTAGTTCAACAAAAAAACAGTTATCAAAGCCTTTCTTTTCCTCTAGTGAAGGTAAAGCTCAGCCAACAATTTCCTTTTTCATGTCTCATAATAAAAAACATTCAACAAGAAACCAATCAGTAAGAGATGGTGTGAGTGTAGGAATAGAGGACACGGACACAGTAATTTCTCCTAAAGTGAAGAATGAAATAGATAGTCAACTGATGAATGAAATACAAACAATAAGGTATTACTGTTTAAAGTTACATGTTTTAATATTAAAACAAGAGGGCCAAGATGGCCCTAGATCGCTCACCTGACCCATTGAACTCATCCAAACAATTACCTAGACAAGCATTTTGACTAAGTTTCATGACAGTTGAGTCAAAAATGTGACCACTAGAGTGTTAACAAGAATTATTCATATTTGAGCAGTGTGACCTAGTTTTTAACTCCAGGTGACCCATATTTGAACTTTACCTAGAAATCATCAAAACAAACTTTCAGACCACTTTCCAGGATATTTGGATCAAAATAGTAGCCACTAGAGTGTTAACAAGATTTTTGTGCCCCCACTTTAGTGACGGGCATTTAGATTTATCCTTGTCCGTCCGTCCGAGCAAACATTTTGGGTTTAGGGGCTATATAACAGTAAAGAGAACAAAAGAGAACAATAGGTTCATTCCGTGATCAAAGGGTTTATGGGCTAGTAGCCCTTAAGAAAACAAAGAAAATAACAAAGAAAATAGCCCCTAAACCCAAAATGTTGGAACGTCCATCCATTCCGTCCGTTCTCTTTTGTGTCGCACGTAACTCAAAAAGTATTTGACCTAGAGTCATGAAACTTTACAGGAATGTTGATCAGCATGTGTAGTTGTGCACCTGGGTATTTTCGTCTGGATATTTTTAGTATTTTCAGAGTTATTGCCCTTGACTTAGTAAAATTTTGCAATTTTCAACTTGTGTCGCACGTAACTCAAAAAGTATTTGACCTAGAGTCATGAAACTTTACAGGAATGTTGATCAGCATGTGTAGTTGTTCACCTGGGTATTTTCATCTGGATATTTTTAGTATTTTTAGAGTTATGCCCTTGACTTAGTAAAATTTATCCATTTTCAACTTGTGTCGCATGTAACTCAGCATGTGTAGTTTTGCACCTGGGTATTTTCGTCTGGATTTATTTAGTATTTTTAGAGTTATTGCCCTTGACTTATAAAATTTTTGCAATTTTCAACTTGTGTCGCATGTAATTCAAAAAGGATTTGACCTAGAGTCATTAAACCTTACGGGAAGGTTGCTCAGCATATTTAGTTATGCACCTGGGGTTTCGCTTGTGGATTTATCCAGTATTTGTAGAGTTATTTCCCTTGACTTAGTAAAAATCATTTCATTATGTTGTTATTTGTTCCTTGAGTGCTTGAGTTAGAATCAGCCACCTTTACAGGAATAATGATCAACATCACTAAATTACAGGAAAAATGATTCACATCACTGTGAAGCTATGAACCTGGGACTTTGCATGTGGATTTTTGTCAGTTTTGTTAGAGTTATTGTCCTTGACTTACAGTAGAATAAATTTGCAATTTTCAACTTGTTCATGCATAGCTCAAAAAGTATTTTACTTGTAGGCCTGAAAGTTTACAAGAATGTTGGTCAGCATGTGTACTGTATAATGCACCTTGGGGTTTGCTTGTGGATTTATTCAGTATTTGTAAAGTTCTTGCTCTTTACTTAGTAAAAGATTTTTAGTTTTCAAAAAATATTTGACCTAGAGTCATAAGATTGACAGAACAGTGGCGCGGTGGGGGCACCCGTGTCCTATGGACACATTTCTAGTTCTATTTTTAGCTCCTGTGACCTACTTTTTCATCTTAGAAGACCCATGTTCGAACTCATCCGAGCAATTACCTAGACAAGCATCCTGACCAAGTTTGATGACAATTGAGTCAAAATGTGACCACTAGAGTGTTAGGACGTTTTCAGGAGTTTTCATATAGACATATAGGCAAAATGAAAACTGTTCAATAGAATTTCTTTAAACTTGGCATGTTGTTAGAATATGATAACAGAAACATTTTAAGCGAAAAAAAAAATGGGGTCACCGTTCTCGTTTTTGAGTTATCTGCCCCTATAATTTAATTATTGTAATAATTTTGTTGCTGAGTTGAAATTTACCTCTTAGCTGTCGGACAAATTTCTGTTATGTATAAGAGGTAATACCTTGGATAGAACTACACAAAACTTGCTGAAATCATTACAGTCTGTAAAATAAGATGGCAGCCTGCACGGAAAATATAGAAATAAGACTTTTGCAGATTTTGATGAAATTTAAAGATGTATTATGCTCAAATCTGATATTTTGAAATATTGATATTTTCTACACACTCTTTTCGTAAATGTAAAATAAACATGTTTTGAGTACACAAAGAGTATATATTTTGAGTTTTAAACTCCATACATTATAGGTAAATACAGTATGAATTCATAGTGTCGTTAAAAACTGCCAGTTTTTCTAAGAAATTGCCAACTTAACTTGACCCGTAGTAGGGAATGCAGCTTCCCATAGACAGTTTATGCATTTCCTTATTCAAATTAGGCATATAAAGTAGGAATATTCTTGGTTTAAAAGATTTCTACAATAGAAATATTTTACTACAAGATGAGCATAGTACATCTTTAATAGAAATGACTTGTCCATTGTCCATGTAAAAATATCCTGAGATGAGTATAAAGTAACCATCATAGCTCTCTTGCTTTTAATATTGATTAATAATGAAATCATATTGACCACATCCTTTCTATAGTTTTTTTCTGTCATTTAGCTCAGTTGGAAATTTAAATGAAGAGCAACTACAGTACCTTACAAGAAGCAATGAGAAGTACCTTAGAGCTATTTTTGAAGGAAAAGCTTCCTCTGAAAGGCATCAAGAGTTTAAAAAAGGAGGAAAAAGTAGAAGTAAGTACTAGTATATCAGATGTAGCATCCTCTTTGAAGGCCCTCATGGGGGATTAAAACTAACATTTATGCAAATAGAGAACCTTTTGCAGCAAGTTGATTTTTTTAAAATTTACTCATATCCAGCCATAAAGTACATCGTAAAAAAGCTAACTTAATTCTTTGTTTTCTACATGGAATTTAACACATTTTTTTTGCCATTAGGCCCACTATACTGGCTTTCTTGAATAACTTAATGAAAATTTCTTCACAAGTAACCAACTCATGGAAACTACATAGAGTTGCAGAGACTAGAGAAAGGAAGTGCATTATCACAGAACCATAACCCTTTACATTGCTTTGTTTTTGAAATACTTTCATTTATTATACTTAATAATGCTTTTTCAGAGAATAACTCGAAAGCTATTGAAGGAATTTTATTGAAACTTTACACAGTGGTAGATACTAGTGAAAGGAAAAGGAAGTGCATTGTCAAAGAACCGTAATCCAACAATGCTTTTTTTAACCAGGTTTTCCGAAGGAAAAAACTGGTTATTAGATTGAGGTATGTCGGCGGGCGGGCGGGCGGATGGGCAGGCGGGCGTAAACAATTTCTTCTGTGCGCAACTCCTCCGACATTTATCAACGGATTTTGACCAAACTTTCACAGAAGCTTTGTCATCAAGTGACCTGGCGCATATTGTCTGGGTTTTGTGATTGGATAATATTTGACCTAATTATGGCCCTTTGTTTTTTTTCCTTATATAGAATATATAGTGAATAACTTCTTCTGTGCCCAACTGTTCCTACATTTCTCAATGGATTTTGACCAAACTCTCACAGAGGCTTTTTCATCAAGTGCCCTGGCGCATATTGTCGGGGTTTTGTGATTGGATAATATTTGTACTTAATTATGGCCCTTTGTTTTTTTTCCTTATATAGAATATATAGTGAATAACTTCTTTTGTGCCCAACTGTTCCTACATTTCTCAATGGATTTTGACCAAACTTTCACAGAGGCTTTGTCATCAAGTGCCCTGGCGCATATTGTCGGGGTTTTGTGATTGGATAATATTTGACCTAATTATGGCCCTTTGTTTTTTTTCCCAATATAGGATATATAGTGAACGATTTTCTGTGCGCAACTCCTCCTACATTTCTCAACGGAATTTGACCAAACTTTCACAGAGGCTTTGTCATCAAGTGCCTTAGGGCATATTGTCAGGGTTTTGTGATTGTATAATATTTGACCTAATTATGGCCCTTTGTTTTTTTTCCTTATACAGATTATATAGTGAACAATTTTTACCATGCGCAACTTCTCCTACATTTCTCAACAGATTTTGACCAAACTTTCACAGAAGCTTTGTTATCAAATGCCCTGGCGCACATTATCGGGGTTTTGTGATTGGATAATATTTGACCTAATTATGGCCCTTTGTTTTTTTCCTTATACAGATTATATAGTGAACAATTTTTACCATGCGCAACTTCTCCTACATTTCTCAACAGATTTTGACCAAACTTTCACAGAGGCTTTGTCATCAAGTGCCCTGGCGCACATTATCGGGGTTTTGTGATTGGATAATATTTGACCTAATTATGGCCCTTTGTTATTTTTCCTTATACAGAATATATAGTGAAAAAATTCTTCTGTGCTGAACTCCTACATTTCTCAACGGATTTTGTTCAAACTTTCACAGTAGCTTTTTAGCTCACCTGTCACAAAGTGACAGGGTGAGCTTTTGTGATCGCTTTTCGTCCGGCGTCCGTCCGGCGTCCGTCCGTCCGGCGTCCGTCCGTCGTCCGTCCGTAAACTTTTACTTTAATTGACATCTCCTCATAAACCACTGAGCCAATTTCATCCAAACTTCACAGGAATGTTCCTTTGGTGGTCACCTTTAAAAATTGTTCAAAGAATTTAATTCCATGCAGAACTCTGGTTGCCATGGCAACCGAAAGAAAAAACTTTAAATATCTTCTTTTAAAAAACCATAAGAGCTAGAGCTTAGATATTTGGCATGTAACATCTTCTAGTGAGTGTCCACCGAGTTTGTTCAAATAAAAGCCCTGGGGTCAAAATTGGCCCCGCCCCGGGGGGTCATTGATTTTCCCTATATGCATATAGTAAAAACTTAAAAAATCTTCTTTTAAAGAACTCAAAGAGCTATGGCTAAGATATTTAGCATCAAACATGTTCTAATAGATGTCTACCAAGTTTGTTCAAATAAAAGCCCTGGGGTCAAAATTGGCACCGCCCCAGGGGGTCATTTATTTTCCCTATATGCATATAGTAAAAACTTAGAAAATCTTCTTTTAAAGAACCAAAAGAGTTAGAGTTAAGATATTAAGCATGAAACATCTTTTAGTGAGTGTCTACAAAGTTTGTTCAAATAAAAGCCCTGGGGTCAAAATTGGCCCCGCCCCGGGGGTCATTGATTTTTAGCTCGACTTTTCTATGAAAAGGGGAGCTATCCTACTCGCCCCGGCGTCGGCGTCGGCGTCGGCGTCGGCGTTGGCGTTGGCGTCACACCTTGGTTAAGTTTTTCGTACCACCCCACTTTATTTCAGAAGTATTACAAGTATGGCTTTGAAACTTACCATACTTGTTCACCATCATAACCTCCATCTACAGACAAGAGTACATAACTCTGTCAAGGTTTTTGACAGAATTATGGCCCTTTTTTGACTTAGAAAGTGTATTGAGCTTGGTTAAGTTTTTTGTACCACCTCACTTTATTTCAAAACCATTGGAGGTATTGCTTTGAAACTGACCATACTTGTTTACCATCACGACCTTCATCAACAGACAAGAGGACATAACTCTGTCAAGGTTTTTGACAGAATTATGCCCCTTTTTGACTTAGAAAATACATTGAATATGGGTAAAATCCACTTATTGCCTTAACCCTTTGAGATATTGCTTTGAAACTTTTAATGCTATTTCACATCATTACCCCCATCTGTACGCAAGAGAAGGTAACTCTGTCAAGGATTTGTTTTAAAAATTAAGGCCTTTTATCGACTTAGAATCTTGGTTAAGTTTTTAGTACCAGTCCACTTTTTGACTGAACTGTTTGAGATATTAATTTGAAAGTTGGAATACTTGTTTACAATCATGATTCCCAAACATGTCCAGGAGAAGGTAATTCTGTCAAAGATTTTATTTGAATTATGGCCCTTAACTGTCAATGTTTTGTATTATAGGCAAGCACTAAAAAACTTAAAAAATCTAAAAAAATTCATTCCTATCCACTTGTTCACTTTACCATAAATTATGTCATATAAACATTGCTGTAATATTCAAGGGTATCAAACAACTAGTTCACTTTAAAAATACAGAGATTCTTGTATTGCCTTTTACTGCAAAAACTTTTTTTATTGGCAAGCAATAAAAAAGTCGAGCGCGCTGTCTTACGGACAGCTCTTGTCTTTATATGTGTATAGCAAAAACTTAAAATCTTCTTTGAAAAAACCCAAATAGCTAGAGTTTAGATATTAAGCATGAAACATCTTCTAGTAAGTGTCTACAAAGTTTGTTCAAATAAAAGCCCTGGGGTCAAAACTGGCCCGGCCCCAGGGGTGTCATTGTTTTTAACTATATGTGTATAGTAAAAACTTTAAAAAAATCTTCTTTTAAAAAGCCCAATGAGCTAGAGCTTAGATGTTTAGCATGAAACATCTTCTTATGGGTGTCTACCAAGTTTGTGCAAATAAAAGCCCTTTGGTTAAATTGGCCCTGCAACGTTGGGGGTTGGGGGGACCTTTATACAGGTGAGCTACCTCAGGGCCATCATGGCCCTCTTGTTTATCCAGTGCCCTGGCGCATATTGTCGGGGTTTTGTGATTGAATAATTTTTATTTAATTATGGCCCTTTGTTTTTTTTCCTTATACAGAATATAATTATAGTGAACACTTCCTCTGTGGCAATTCCTCCTACATTATTCATGTTTTACATTGCACATAGTTACATTGTTTGTTGCTTGTATTTGTATTTCAAATACAACATATTTATCTACAATGGTGATAATTGAAAACCTGGTTTCATGGCATTGCCATGTTTCTTGTTTTTATTATGCCCCACGCTATATAATGTATGTGTTACCCTGTTCCGTCATTCCGTCCTTCAGTCATTCCGTCATTCTTTTATCATCAGTTTCTGTTCATTATCTTAGTAACGGTTGCACACATTCAACTCTAATTTGACATATGGATATGTCATGAAGTTTGAATTTGGTCATGGTTCGATGATTTTTGGCAGAGTTCACTTTGAAAATAATATGAAATTTTCAGTTTCTGTTCATTATCTCATTATCAAATTTGGCATACAGATATGTCAAAGAAATGCGCAGGTCAAGTTTGAATTTGGTCACCATTTGATGATTTTTGGCAGAGTTATGCCCCTTTCACTTTGAAAATAATATGAAATTTTCAGTTTCTGTTCATTATCTCCCACGGTATTACACATTCAACTCAAATTTGGCATACAGATATGTCAAAGAAATGCGCAGGTCAAATTTGAATTTGGTCATGGTTTTATGATTTCTGGCAGAGTTATGCCCCTTTCACTTTAAAAAATAATATGAAATTTTCAGTTGCAGTTCATTATCTCCCCACGGTATTACACATTCAACTCAAATTTGGCATACAGATATGTCAAAGAAATGTGCAGGTCAAGTTTGAATTTGGTCATGGTTTGATGATTTTTGGCAGAGTTATGCCCCTTTCACTTTGAAAATAATATGAAATTTTCAGTTTCCGTTCATTATCTCCTCTAAGGTATTACAGATTCAATTCAAATTTGCCATATGGATAAATCAAAGAAATGGGCAGGTCAAGTTTGAATTTGGTCATTGTTTGATGATTTTTGGCAAAGTTATGCCCCTTTTACTTTGAAAAAAAAGGAAATTTTCAATATGCAATTTACAAAAGATTAACACTGAATAGTTTCAGTGCCTTGAACTTTGTATAAAAATGGTTTGTGTTAAAATTGAATAGTTTTATGGGCTTTGAACTGAAAATGAAAAAAACAGTTTGTGGGAAGAAATTTGGAACTAAATAAATTATAATAATTTATAACATCTGAAATTGCGGGGGCAAGCGTGGTGTGACGACACATTTCTTTCTTTATGATACATAAAAAAATGTTAAATTATGCTTGTTTTTAATTATCTCCCTTTATAATATTTCATTATGCTTGTGTGGAGATTAACTTGAAAAGTTTTTAAGACATTTGATTACAACTTCATAGAGTGATAGGTACAAGTGAAAGGAAATGCAGTGTCAAAAGAGCATAGTTCTAACTTGCTTAATGTTATAATTATCTCCCTTTATGATGCTTAAAAATGTTGAATTATGCTTGTCCTGAGTGTAACTTCTGAGCCCTGGATGATTTCTCATTGAAACTTATACAGTTGTAAATAATAATAGTAGGAAGTGCATTGTCTAAGACTCATAACTCGACATTATTTAGTATTTGAATGATCTCCTTTTGTATTTTTTGAGAATACCTTGAAAATATTGAAGGAATTTGATTAAAAACTCCATCACTGATAGAGATTAGTATGAGGAAATGCACATTTGCTCATACAATCTTCAGTTATAAAGAGGTGTCTTTCATGTATAATAAGAACAGTCTTAAAGTGGTCCTCTAACTTTTATTGAAGTAAGGGGTCATTTCGGTCAAGTTGAAGATTATTCATGATAAGAATAGATTTTAACACTGTTTAAATGTTGCATTTCCAGAAAATAATTGTACTGATGTGTGACTCATAATTGCCACAATGGCTGAATTGGTAGAGCACTTATCTAAAAAAAGAACTTTATGGTAAGAACAGTATTGACAACAACATCATGTTGAATAATTCAAGCATGACCTTAAGTTATAAATAAGTGATGTCTTCAAAATACCTTTTCACCGAAACAATGTTTAACTTGGTTGTGGCCTTTGGGAAATAGAAAAAAAGCTGGGAGCCTGGGAATTCCCTTTTGAATCTAGCAGTACAGATTTTTCAAAATCACAAGGTCCACGTGAATGGTAAATTGCTAAAAACGTTTCCTGGATGGCTGTCAATTGAAGATTTTGGTTTTTGGGACAAATGTGTTTTCTCATTCTTGATCAATATAGTTTACTATTATTGCTAAACATTTTATTTAAAATCCATTTTCTATTTAATAATTTAGGGGACCTAAATTACAGCTCTAGACTTTGTCAGTATTCAGAAGAACAAGTGGACACAGTTATGGAATGTCTAATGGCCATGTTTTGTAAAAGACATCATAAGGTAAACTGGTAAAGTATATTTAGCTAGACTATTATAATAAGGACAGCTATTCTACTCCCCAGAACCTCTGTGTCACACTTTTATGCCACTGCAGCATCTGCAATGCGGTGGCATATAGCGATTCACCTGTGTGTGTGTTTGTTTGTGTGTGTGTTATATAGATTATATAGTGAACTTAAAAAATCTTTTTGTGAAAAACCACAAGTCCAATTTCAACCAAACTTGGCAGGATTGATCCTTGGGTGAAGGGCTTCAAAGTTGTTTAAAGAATTAATTTCCATTCAAAATCTGGTTGCCATGGCAACCAAAAGGAATTATAAGAATAAATTAAAAAAATCTTCTTGTAAAGACCCAAAAGGCCTAGAGCTTAGATATTTTTGCATAAGGCATTGTCTGGTAGACCTCTACCAAGATTGTTCAAATTATAGCCCTGGGGTCAAAATCGGCCCCGCCCGGGGGTCATTGATTTTCACTATATGTACATATAGTAAAAAAATTAAAATACCTTCTTGTAAAGACCCAAAAGGCCTAGAGCTACGATATTTTGCATAAGGCATTGTCTGGTAGACTTCTACCCAGATTGTTCAAATTATAGCCCTGGGGTCAAAATCGGCCATGCCTCGGGGGTCATTGGTTTTCCTTATATGTATATAGTAAAAACTTATAGTAAAAAACTTTCAAAAAATTTCTTCTAGCAATTGACAAATGCTAGAGGTTAGATATTTTCCATGAAACATTGTGTAGAGAACCTCTAGCAAGATTGTTCAAATTATAGCCCTGGGGTCAAAATTGCCCCCGCCCCAGGGGTCATGGCTTTTCAATATATACATATAGTAAAAAATCAAAAAATCTTATTGTCTGAAGGTACAAGGCTTAGAGCTTTAATATTTGTTAAATGATATCATCTATAGGTACTCTACCAAAGTTTTTCAAATTTTGCCTCTAGTGTCAAAATTAGCCCCGCCCCAGGGGCCATAGGTTTTCCTTATATGTATATTATATAGTGAAAACTTAAAAAATTATCTTCTCTAAATTTACAAAGGCTAGAGTTAAGATATTTTGCATGAAACATTGTGTAGTGAACCTCTAGCAAGATTGTACAAATTATAGCCCTGGGGTCAAAATTGGCCCAACCCCAGGGGTCATTGATTTTCACTATGTACATATAGAAAAAAATTAAAAAATCTTCTTGTCTGAAGGTACAAGCTTTAGAGCTTTGATATTTGGTATATAATATCATCTATGGGTCCTCTACTAAAGTTGTTTTTAATTATGCCCCTAGTGTTAAAATTGCTCTGCCCCAGAGGCGATAGTTTTCCTTATATGTATAAAGTAAAAACTTGAAAAATCTTCTTCTCTGAATTGACAAAGGCTAGAGGGTAAATATATGGCATGAGACTTTAAGAAGTGAACCTCTACCAAGATTGTTCAAATTATAGCCCTGGGGTCAAAATTGGTTCCGCCCCTAGATTTTGATGATGTGACCTACTTTCTTGTCCTTTGATGTACAGCTATGAAATTTGAACCATGTGCACAGATTAAGATGTAAAGTGAACTTTGATATCAGCTGACCTAGATTTTGAGTGTCTTACTGTGTTGTCCTTTGATGTAGTCATGAAATTTACGCTGTGTGAAATATGACCTTCACCACCAAATTCACTAGTCTCAAGTGCATTGATATATTCCTACTCTGATCTTTTATTGATTAACAATAGATTTAACTACTAATCTGATAATAAGAATTAGATAGGTCAGGGATCTATGCATTTTGACAATCTTCAATTGTATAGAAACAAAAAAAATCTGTTCCTACACTACTATTTAGTGTTGTATTAATGCGGTGGCATAGCATTTTTCTCAAATGCAATCTTGTTTTAATTCCATATTCCTTTTCACTTCAACTGAGCACAAAGTGCTCAGAAGTAAGCTTTTGTGATGGCAGTGTCTCAGTCGTTGTCAAAATAACATCTTCTCAACAAAAATTACATAAATCATGCTCATAGGGTCAATATAGGCCTATATGGATTTCACTTAGGTTATATAGACTTGTATACAAAAATACATTGAAGTCTTTTTTGAAACTACAATGCCAAGAGATTAGATAAATGTCATTATGCATTTCATAGAAGATAACTACAAATATTTTAAAAATTATACAGCTATTCTAGCAATGTACTGGTATCTCAGGTGAGCGATAACCATCTTGTTTAGAAATGGGTCTCAGGTGAGTTATCTTGGGCCATTATAGCACTCTTGTTGTTAATATTTACTTATGTTTTGTTTTGTCCATAGACTTATTGAGAAAAGCGTGTCATATGCATATCATTTCAATATAGGAACAGATGGAACTACTGAAGTTTGAAATAGTGATGTTTTTCTTCTTTAAGATATTGTTAAAATAGTTTTTTGTTGTTTTCTCTTTCTCTCATACAGTATTTGGATTACATATTGAAAGTGTTACTGCCAGAGATGTTGATAAAGGTACATATGGATGTTCATGGTACAGGACATGCAGAGAGTGAGGAAATCATTGCATCTAAACCAAAGAAAAGTCTATAACAACAATTTAGTGGGAATTGTATCATGATTATTCTCTTCCATGAATATTGTCCCTGTTTATCTTACCATAATCCTATAGTAACAGTGCATTCTCCTACAGTTTCTCCATGTTAATTTATTTATTTGCAGAAATCTTCCATATTTGGTAGATAGATAACTTGAATTCTCCTCTAAGTATTTTAGTGAAGTGCTAAAAATAAATTTATACAGCCTTTATGTATTGACTGATGTCTTTTACTTTTGGTAGGTAAATGCTTTGGATAGTCCTTTACCTTTAGAAAGTGGTCACTAGGCTAAAGGTCAAGCTCATTGGTGCTAAAAATAGATCTTTATGCCACCATAATTTTATGATTTACCCGTGTGTGTGTGTGTGTGTGTTTATATAGGTTATTTATTGAACTTACAAATCTTTTTAAAAACAACTAATCCGATTCTTGTGTTAGGGGATAAAGTTTTTTTTTTTTAACCAATGGTTCATACTTACAACTCCAGCCCTTCAGTTAAGATATAAATTAAATCTATTTAAGTTGATGAATACATGTTTGTGGTAACTGATTTAAAATAAATTTGAATTGTCATTTTTTTTTAAAAGAAAGATGATATGTTTTTTTTGTTATTGTCAAGAAAATGACAAATAGAGGATATTGAATGAGTGAAGGTTTAAAACGGAATTTATTGAACTAGTTGAAATATATAATTTATGTGAGCCTCTGGTGAGCATAATATTCTTGTTCTACAAGTTCAATAAATTTAGTAATGAAAGTACACGAATATACTATTCTATTTGTCACATACCTAAAAACGAATATACTATTCTATTTGTCACATACATAAAAACGAATATACTATTCTATTTGTCACATACATAAAAACGAATATACTATTCTATTTGTCACATACATAAAAACGAATATACTATTCTATTTGTCACATACCTAAAAACGAATATACTATTCTATTTGTCACACATAAAAACGAATATACTATTCTATTTGTCACATACATAAAAACGAATATACTATTCTATTTGTCACATACATAAAAACGAATATACTATTCTATTTGTCACATACCTAAAATAGGAACTGTTTATGGTAAAACAAAATCATTTTTTCTTTGACTTGCTCATAATGTAATTCTTATATTTTGCACGCTTTTATTCTTTGTTTGTATAATGCAAGTGTCATCATGTCAAAACATATGCATGGTTGTGTCATATCATATTTACAGTAAAAAAAACAGCAGGTTTAATACTGTTAAGTTTTAAATGACTTCTGAAACATTGTCAATACTTAAAATCCAATACTTAAAGAATGTTAAAATGTCATGGATGGTGTGTAGGAGATGGAAATGAGGGTTGCTATAAAAGAGATAAGACTCGAGTTAAATTTAGAATATTTTCATAGGTACAGCAATTGTAAAATGTTTTCTTCAATTTAAGCGTAAGATTATGAAATTATTGTGCTAAAGGCATGTTCTCTGTGATGATGAATAACCATGGTTACATGCACCCTGCATAGCGCATCAAAAACATTTTTGCAGCTAAGTTGTTCTTCTTATATATTTAAAAGTAATTTCTTTAACACATTTTATTATATTTTGTTGACATTGTATTCAAATTTGACGTCATTCAGACATGAAATGGCTAAATAATTAATTTTTGAACAGCAGTAAATGTAGAATAGTTTATGTCTATTGAAAAACTTGAAGTTGTTTATTGTTAAATTTTAGATAGGAGATACTCCATCAGATTCATATGAAAAGATTAAATTGACACATTAAAAATTTATAAAATTTTTTAAATTTAAAAAGTAAAACGTAGAGTTTGCAGTGTTTTTATTTTGAAGAATCTTTATGAAAAGGCAGTTGATGAGAATGGAGTGTATCAATTAATTTATGGTTGTTATTCAATATACAATGTACCTTAGTTTGCAAACAGTTATTTTTGGTAAGCAGATGAGGTTATTCCTGTCTGGATATAGATGTGTCAATTTATGCCAGTCTATTAATTTTGTAAATTCATGAATATTGTTATTTATAATTATATCATTTTTAGTTATACCCCGACAAACGCAGTTTAGGAGGGTATATGGGAGTCAGCTTGTCAGCTGGTTGGTCTTCTTCATGGTTTCCGCATGATAACTAGAGTCTGGAATGAGATATTGTAACCAAACTTGGTATATAGGAACCTTATGTGGAAACCCTGGTTGGTATTACTTTTGGACCCCTGGGATCAAGGTCACTGTTACTAAAAATAGAAATATGGTTTCTGGACAGTAACTAGAATTAGGGATGAGATAATTGTAATCAAACTTGGTATCGAGCAAGCTAATATGAAAACCTGGTGTTCGGGAACTTGGGTTCTACTTCAAATATAAATCTAAACGAGTATGCGCCTTTAACTTTTATTTCCTTGATAAACGTCAATAAGCGTTGATAAGCGTTGATAAGCGTTGATAAGCGTTGATAAGCGCTTATCAACGCTTATCAACGCTTATCAACGCTTATTGACGTTTATAAAGGGAAAAAAAAAGTTAAAGGCGCAAACTCTTTGTTTATATTTGAAGTAGAACCCAAGTTCCCAAAACCCCAAATTTTTCGTTTTTTGATTTGTTTTTCAATAAACCCCAAAGTTCCGGGTTTTTAAAAAAAATGACGAAAAAATTCTAAAATTAAAAAAACCCAAAAAAAAAATGATGACGCCCGCCCGGAAAAATTTTTTTTACGTCGGGTAAATTTTGGGCTTTAACATTTGAGGGCCCCAAATTTTAAACAACGTTTAAACCAAATCTAAAGTTTTTTAAAAGAAATCAATTCCGTTTTCTAACAGTCCCCCGGCCCCATTAAAAATTTCTTTTAAATTTTCCAATCAAAAAAATGGGCCAATAAAAAGTAAAAAAATTTTAAAAAATAAAGAGGACAAATTAGAACCCTTTTAAAATTTAAAATATATGTAAAATTTCCAAAAAAATTGTTTTAATTTGGTTTTAAAGGCCTTAGCCTTTTTAAACTTTAAAAGTTGTCAAAAAAAAAAAGCAAAAAAATGGCTAAGGTAAAACTTTCAAGTAGCCCAATTTAGTTTTGATTTCATGTTTTCAGTTTCTTTGATTTCAAAACCCCAAAACCCCCCTTTCTAACATTTTTCCATCTGGGCGTTTCTCGTACCCTGAAAAAATGGTCCTAAGGGCCATTGCCCCTTTTTTGTAGTTTTTCCCCCGTCAAAACTAACCCCCAATGTTCCCCAAAAACACGCAAATCTTTTATTTTTCCCTTTTCCCATTTTGAACGATTTTGGGCAGGGCCCCTTAAAGGGAAATTCACGGAAAACCCCCCATTTTCCTCCAAAATATTTTTTTTAAGCCCAAAATATTGAAAATTTTTTTTCCCCAACCCTTTTTTAATTTTATTTTTTTTCCATTTTTAAACACCCCCTTTGGGAAAATACCTGCTTTTTAGATTTTCATTAAAAAAAGTAAAAATGTTTGGATTAAGGCTAACAAGTCTTTGGGTCGTATAAAAAAAGGGGTTTTATTGGTCTATGGGTTTGGATACCCCTTCGGCTTTTTGTAATTCAAATTTAAAAAAGGGCTGTTTCATCTGTAAAAAGTTTTTGCTTGATTAATGATTTAAAAATATTTTTTTCCAATTTAGAACAAAATCAGTTTCCCCGCTCCCCTGGGTTTTGCTTCCCTTGGGGGGGTTAAAGTTCCATTTAATTTTTTTGAAATTTCCAAATTTTCCCCTATTTTCAAATTTTTCCTTTAAATCGGGGTGTTTTAATTGACAGAAATGCTCAAAAGTTTTTGTTCCATTTTAAACTGTAACCTTTTTCCCGGTTTTATCCCCCTTCCCCGAAAAAAACCGCTGAAAAGCTGCGATAAATTTAAAGTCAGTTTAAAATTTGGTGTGCAATTTTAAGAGTACTGCTCTATTTGGGAAGACACGTAAAAAAGACAACCGTATCTCTTTAATGTGTGCTCGGGCTTTTACAATAAGGGGTTTCCAAAAAGTAATAAATTTACCTACATTCGGGGAACGGAGGTTCATCGGGTTTGTCGTCTGTTGGGGGTAGGAGGGGGGCCCAAATTTTTTTTTGATTTCATGAGGGGGTTATGTTTTGCCCCCTGCATAAAAATGCAATTTTTTACAATATTTTTCACTGCCTGGGTCCCTGAAGTATCCATTATTTTTCACGGGATGCGGCAAAGTAAATGCTTTTTCCCCGGGATGACCATTTTTTTCTGAAATATTTTGGGTTTTAAATTTTAATTTGTCCCGGTTTTTTTAATTCGGTAGTATCACTGGGATTTACTGGGGTTGCGAGTTTGGGAAGTGGGACCCTGTCCCAAATGAGGTCATAATATATAAAGGGAAATTAAATAAAAGGCGATACTCCCTGCCCCCCTTTTTTTGCCCGGTTTAAAGAATTTTGTAAATTGTTAATTTCATTTAGAAAATGCGGGGTTTTCCCCTGTACATAAAACCCTTTTATTTTAAATTTTCTGCTGTCGGGGATTTCTTCAAAATGTTAAGTGCCATTTTTACCATTTTCAACTTGTTTTTTGGGTATCGCGGGTCTCCCAGAAAGTCTTGTATCTTAGCAACCATCCCGCCCTGCTTTTTCTTATTTTCGTCCACTACTTTTAGCGACCCCTATAATGTTTATCTAGCCCTTTCAGATGAAAGAAGTTTTTTTTAATCAGGACTTCCTTTCTTGACCTGTTATCTTTTTCCCGGGCTACTTCCGCGCGGAAGTGGATTTTTTTTGTCCATTTTTCAGAGTCTTGCTGGATGAAGAACCGTTGGTCCATTTAACCAAAATGAAGTTTTTCAGTATCGTATGCACTTTTTCCTTGGACCCTATGTCTGTGCTGGGGATTCGAACTTTGCTGTGCAATTTGGCCGCCACTTTGGTCGTGGGGAAGTTGTTTCATTGAATTAGTTGCTGAGTCTATTCCCAAACAAAACGTCTTTGAACCGCTTTGGACACGTTATTTATATATCCAAGAACAATCATGGGAGTCTGTCCAAAAGGTAACTTTGGTCAAGATTTCATATCTAATTCATCAGATTAACATTCAAAATTTAATCTACACCCTACTACAGGCGCCAGATAACTCCAGTCGTGGGAATAGACATCTGCTTTATTGGTGCTAGATTGAGATTTTCCCTATCACTAGGGAACAATGTACGTTGTCCATGAAACATCAACAAAACGCAAGAAAGCGCATGCACCTTTACCTTTCTTTCCCGACCCTTTCACTGAAATTATGAAACTGGGGGTTTTTTCTGACGGTCCCAAACCCCTTTGTGGTCGGGTACCAGCGATTCACAAAATGGGTTTTTTCAAAGCTAGAAAAGGTAGATAACCATGATTGCCATCATTCTGATGTTGTGTGGTATTTTTTTCCCCCAAACCCAAATTCTTAAACTGCACAAACTTTGAACTAAAACCTTTTTGGCCTGGGTGAAAACAGGTGACACAAGCCCCAAGGGGGGTCGTTAAGAATTTCAGGGACAGAAAAAAATTCCCACGTCTCGTGAAAGGCTTCTTTTCCAATTTTACTTTAAAACAAATTTTATTTCATTTACTTTTCAAAGTACCCCTTAAGGGGGGGTTTCAAAAGGGTTTAAGGGTATTATGGGAGGCTAAAATTTTACAACAAAAGGGGGGCGCTTTCGGTTTCCCGGGTTTAGATTAAACCCTTCCCTTGCTTTTTATTTTACCCATTTAGTAAGTCGAAATCCGCCTAACTTCTTTAAATTGGGGGTAAAGGGATTTTTTTTGGCCTAACTTTATTGCCTTTTTTTTTTGTTTTCCCACAGATTTTTCAAAACAGCCCCGGTCAACATAAAAATTTCTCTGGACTTTTAGTAACCAATTTCCCCGGTTTTAAAAATATTTCGGCTTGTAAACTGCGTTCTCTTTAAGGCATACGCCGCAAAAAAATTTTGGTTTGGGAGGGTTTCCCGTTTTTCCAAAAAGTTTTTTACTTTCTTTGCGGAAACATTTTGGGTTTTTCTTTTTTTAAGTCCCACCGGGGCCACCATAAAAAACGAAAAACTTTGGGCGATCTTCATCCGGAAGCGCACTTGATAAAACCATGGATTTATATCCGCGGCAAGGGCTTTTTCTTTTTCCCTTTAAAACAAAATTATTTCGCCCTTTAAGACTTTTTCTTTAAAGGGTCAGGCCCTTGGAGAAAGTTGGTTTATTAAAAATTGAAACGCCTTTTTTTATTTGGGCAGCGAAAATCAAACACAATGCAAACTTTCCCTGGTTTGTTTCCCTTTTGGGGTAACTGGATATGTGGTAAATACCAGATACTTTTTGTGATGGGTTTTTCGTCCCCCAAATTTCCCGGTTTTAATTCAGTGGGCAAACCTTTCTCTATATTTTTTCTTCAGGGTAGTTGTGCATTTTCTGTAATCCTGGGGCACGTTTTACAGTTTGTTTCTTAGTTGTTTTTAAGGGGCGGGGATTGGGGCAGTGGGGAATTTTTGGGTTTGGCAATTGTCCGTTTTTCCGGTTTTTTTCCCTGGTAACCCCCCTCATGTAGTGTCCGTCTTTATGGGAAAAAGAAGATTTCATTTTTTTTCATTGCCCCTTTTTGGGCTTCTAAGGGCATTTGAATTTTTCTCGTTCAAAACTGTCGTTGGGGAAACGTATTCCAATTTTTTTAATTGTTTTCCCCGCAATAAAAATGTCTTTTGGATGTTCAAAAGGGGTATTTTTCTGCACTGGGAGCTTTTATCGTTTTTTCAAAGGGGCCCCGAATCCCCCCATTTTTTGGGGGGAACGCACTGGGGATATGGGTTTGGGCCCCTTTTCTCCTGACCGGGGGACTTCTAAGGGAATATGGGTGCTGGGAAAACTGTGCCCCAAAAAGAAGGGATTACTATGGGCTGCTGGGAAAACTGTGGGCCCAAAAAGAAGCATTCATCATTATTTGGGGGAAATTTTGGGGGAAAGGGCAATTTTCAGATTTAAATATTTGGGGGAAATTTTGTTTGTCTAAATGCAAAATTTCCCCCTGATTTTTCAGGGTATGGTAGTTTTTTTTTCCCGACCCCTACCCTTACGGAAGGGGGACTTTCTCACTTTCCCATTCCGTTTTTAAACCATAAATGTAAAGGGCCCCCTTCATCCCATAAAATCGGGGCTGCTAGATGAAATTCACGGTTGATAATTTTTAAACGTAATTTGGGGTTTTCAATCAAAATTTAACTTTGTTTAAAAGTTTTCTCGTCACTAGTGTTTTGTAGCACCATCGTCTAACAGCCCCTTTTGTTTTGCACTGAATTCCCGTTTTCGCCTCTTTTCCAAAACAAAAGGCACAACCCCCCAAAAAAGTTCTTTTACAAATGAAATCTTAAAAATGCGCAATTCCCCCGAGGATTTTGTTTAAATGAGGCCTCGTTACGTGGGGCCAGTCCAAAATATGTAGTAGAATATTGGGGTTTGATTCTTAAAAATCCGGCACGGTACAAAAACTTTGGTTTTTTAAAAGTTATTAAAGGGAAAGATTTCCCTTTTAAACATTAAAACACCGTTTTTCTTTTTTTAACTACGTCGTTCCGTTCGTTTAAATTCATAGACTTTTAAAATTTTAAAACATGAACATAAGTCCGTACAGTTACCAAAGGCAACAAATTTCCCTTTTCGCCCCGTACTTTTCATGTCCCTAAACACTGTGAGTAGTCAATGTTGTTTTTATCTTTTGAAGGTTTTTTCAGCATAAGATGGGCCGGAAGTTTGTTTTTGTTTCCACTTTTAATGATCTTTTTTTCCCTTACAATTCTATACCGTTTCATGGGAAATTAGCAACTCGCCCACTTTTTTATCTACAAAATTTTTGCTAAATCGGAAAAACTTTGGTTCTCTACCAGATCATTAATCACGTTCATGCGATCTCAACCCATTTTCACTCTCAAATGGGATTGGTAACCGCTTTTTTTTTTTTTCCCCCAACTATACGTCTCAAATTTTGAGAGTTATCTTATTTCACAAGGAGAAACCTAGTTGTGATAACGTGATTTCACATTTTTTTTGCTTTTTCCATGGCAAATTAGAATTACCTTTAATGTCAGATGCTGGATAACTGGGGACCTTTTCTACAAGTTTTTCAATTGTATGTCCTCCCGTTGATTCCACGTTGCGGTCTTCCTAACGACAGAGTATAAGGATTTCGCGTTTGCGCGCTTGTATCCTTCACTTGGGGTTCTTAACAACACACAAATCTTCGATTACAAACTTTTTGCTTCTCCGTAACAATTATTGTATTTAAAAGCTTTAACCCTTGGTGTTTTCAGGAAAACTTATTTTTTTTTAGTTTTAAAATTCTTTATAAAATTGCAATTTTCCGTTGGCTTTCCCCCGAAAGTTAATAGTTTTCCCCTTTTTGGTAAATTAAATCCCTCGTTTCAGCGCGAAAGCAAAATTTTTTTAAATGCTGTTTCCAAAACCCGGGGTTCACTAACGTCGGGGAATTTTTTGTATTAAAAAATTTTCCCGGGTTTTTCCCCAACTGCGTTTAGGGGGTGCGATTTGACCCAAATTTTTACGATTCCGTATTTTTCATATCAAAAGTGCAGCACGGGGGGTTTTGTGCGTTCAAACAATGTCGTCTGCCCTCAAATCCGGGTTTTAACCGGGCCCAAAAATTCCCGTTTATGATTATTATTAATTCCATCATCGGTAATAAACATTTCTGATTGGGGATCAGTTTTTTGGATTTGAAAAAACCCATTTGCCTGTATGAGTTTATTTGAATTTTTTCACTAGGAGACTTATTGATTTAAAAATCGTCTGCTTTGAAGATTCATCCCCGTTTAAAAACAATTTTCTTTTCCCAACGGATTCTTCTATTTTGCGCTTCTTCAAAACGACCTGGGTTTTATCAAGTAATTGCTGTTTTAAAATTGAGTTTTCCTTTTTTGGGGGCTAATTCGGGGGTCCCTTTTTTTTTTCTCTAAATGGGTTTTTTTTTTAATTCGGGAATCAAAAAGTTTTTTCCTTTTTGCACTTTTCAACTTTGCCTGTGAATTTACACGGAAATTTTTCACTGCTAACTGTAGAAAAAAACAATCATCAGGGGGATTTTTTTGCACAGATTTTCCACTGTGAAATCTTTTTCCCGGCCCCTTTAAAGGGAAATTTTGACTACAATGTTCGTAAAATTTAAATTAAAACGGTTTTCCCTTTCAACCGGGTTGAGCATAAGTCTAAAAACATTTAAAAAATGGTTTGATTTAAAAGAAATTTAAAGCGCTTTACAAAAACGGGGTCCCTGCAATATTTGGGACCCCATCGCGTTTTTATTTTAAAATCATTTTCAAAATTTTAAGTCTTTGTATTTAAAGGGTCAATTTTCCCAGTTTCCCAAAAAATGTGAAGTTTTAAACAAAACCCAAAAACCCCAAAGCCCTAGGAAACTGTTCCCTTTTCCGGTGATATTCCCCCATATTTAAAATTTAAAGAGAATTGAACAGATCCCTACTGGGATCGGAGCAGTTTTCCCCTTTCAAAAAAGCAGTACCCTATTTTTTTATTTAAAAAGCTTGATTTTTACTTGGGGATTTTTTAAAAAATTCCTTTTTCAAAACAAAGCAATACAAAAACGAGGGGCAAAATCTAAGGGGGTCGTTCGGGGGAGTACGTATAAAAGTTTTCATTTTAAATCATTTCCCCCTGGGGCGTCCCCCTCAAAAAAGTGAAACCCTTTTTTTTCTTTGGGGGGGAAATTCCCCTCCTTGGGGCGCATGCGCAAAAATCTTTCACTTTAAAGGCCCTTTTTAAAAGGGTTTTCCACTAATTTTCCACCTGTTTACAGATAAAGGCAATGTGGGGTGAAAAATTTTTTTTAAAATTAAAAAAAATTTTTCCAAAATTCCCATAAAAATAATTTTTTTTGGGGTTTTTGGGGCGTAAAATTTTAAGCTTTCAAGCATGTTAAAAATTGGGGATGTGGGAAAAACGTTGGGGGGTAAAGGGGACCCCGGGGGGGAAAAAGAAAACCCGCGTTTTAGTCTACGCTCTTTTCCTGAAAATTTAAAACCCATTTTTCTCTTAGATAATGGTTCCCGTTTTTAAAAATTGTAAAGAAAAAAAGGTCCGATATAATAAAATTGTATAAAATTTTAATGGGTTAAAAATTTTATGTTACGGGAAACTACTTCTCTTCATACCAAAAATAATGGATAATTTCGGTTTTACCCTATATTTGAGGGCGCCTCATAAGTTTAAGGGTTATTCTATGTTTTAGAACTTTTGATGGAATTTCCCATGATTTGTGCTTGTGACGAGCCGAATATTGATGTGTAAAATTCAAATTTTGGTGAGTGAGCGTAATAAAAAATAATGTTTAAGAAAAACTATGAAATTTTTGTACGGGAACTGCTCGCATGCCTAGTACGCATGAGGGATTTTGGTAGTTTCGTTAAACGTTCACGTTCTTCGCAACTTCGGAAAAATTGACCCGATTATACAAAGACTTAGAACTGAAAATGATATCACATGAGAACGCAGATGAGGTACAAATATAAATCTAAACGAGTATGCGCCTTTAACTTTTATTTCCTTGATAAGCGTTGATAAGCGTTGATAAGCGCTTATCAAAACTTATCAACGCTTATCAAAGCTTATTGGGGCCGTTTATCAAGGAAAAAAAAGTTTAAAGGGGCATTTAAACGTTTTTTGATTTTTTATTTGAAGGGAGAACCCAAGTTCCGAACCCTTTTTCCCATTTTGACTTGTCTCAATTTCATTTAAGTTCCCGATTTTAAAAATGACGGGGATTCTCAATAAAAAAAACCAAAAAAAAAAATGTGACGTCCGGACGTAAAAATTTTTACGGGCGCGTAAAATAGCGTAACATATTGAGCCATTAAAAACTTTCCCAAAAACTGGGGGGTTTTTTAGAAAAAATAAAGTTTCTAACACCTGGGTTTGTATTGCGTTTGGACTCCCTTGATTCAAGGTTAAGGTCACTTTTACTAAAAATAGCAAAATGGTTTCCTGACAATAACAAGAGTTAGAAATGAGATATTATAATCAAAGGTATGCAGCAAGCTTATATGAAGATCCGGGTTGTGATTGCCATGGGACCCTCTGGGGTCGAGGTCAAGGTCATTGTTACTAAAAATAGAAAAATGGTTTAAAGATAATTACTTTAAATAGGCATGAAATTTTGTAATCAGACTTCACTTTGTATTAAGCAAGCTTATATTAAGACCTGGGTTGTTATTGCATTTGGACCTCCTGGGGCCAAGGTCACTGTTTCTAAAATATAAAAATGGTCTTAGGAGGATAACATAGTTAAGAATTATTTGTACACAGTTGATACTTATGAATTATAGGTCCGAATATATTTTCCTTCAGACCACTTATTTTTCAAAAAGTCAAGGTTGCTGGTGGGGGTATTAATCACCCTTAGTGATAGCTCTAGTTGTATTTGATAAGTGTGATTAAATTCTTTTTATTGATCAGCATACCCAATCACTTCCAACATAATAAATAGTAAAATAAATGTTGTTTTATGTTTTGTCTCTTTGAGAGAGAGAGGTGCTTGTTATACTGTTGCTGGTTTAACAATTCCTGTATAGCTATGGGGATAGTTATACTTTATTAGTGGTAAAGTATGTGACATGGAAATGTTGCAGATATTTTCAAGTTCACAAAATTAGTATCATTAAAATACAAAAACCAACTGTATATTTTATGGTTTTAAGTCAAATCAAAGTCTCTTTAGCTAGACTCTCGAAAGAAAAACTTGAGGTAATGTTACAGACTGTTCCTGTTGCTGTCCGAAAATTTAACATTGGTCATTACTTCTTCAATGTCATAATAGATTGCCTTCATACTCAAGACATGTCAACCCTTTGGACAAGTGGACAAGACCTTCAAGAAGATCAGACTGAACTTGACCTTAACTCATAAATGACTGTCAAGGTCAAATGTTTGCTTGATTTTTTTGCTATAATTAGTCCCCTACCAGTTTAACCGGAGGGGACTTTAGGTTTACCCTCCGTCCGTCTGTCTGTCAGTCCACAAATCTGGATCCCGAGATAACGCAAAAAGTACTGAAAATATTTTTATGAAACTTGATATGGATAGATGGCAGTATGGAGATTATGCACGTCTTTTTTTTTTCTTCCTATGTTGAAAATTCTGGTTGCTATGGCAACAAATAGTCTGAAAATATGGCAAATTTAACACATAAACTGGATCCAGTGATAACTCAAAAAGTACTGAAAATATTTTTATGAAACTTCAAATATGGGTAGATAGCAGTCTGGAAATTATGCACATCTTTTTCTTTTCTTCCTATGTTGAAAATTCTAGTTGCTATGGCAACAAATAGTCTGAAAATATGGCAAATTTAACACATAAACTGGATCCAGTGATAACTCAAAAAGTACTGAAAATATTTTTTTGAAACTTGAAATATGGGTAGATGTCAGTCTGGAGATTATGCACATCTTTTTCTTTTCTTCCTATGTTGAAAAATCTGGTTGCTATGGCAACAAATAGCCTGAATTTCAAGATTTCTGATTCAAATTTTTCAGCTTTTTCACTATAAGTTCTTATGGTGTTTACTTCAAACTTTAGATATAAGTTTCTATTCATCAACCACATCATATGTGACAAGGTTTACAACTCTAGCACAAAAATTATCAGTATTACCTCCCTTGAACATAGAATTTTTATGAAAAAAATGTTGTCTTTTTTAAATAACTTCTTTATTTCCTAATGTATCTACTTCAAACTTCAATATATATGTTTCTTATTATCACTTAACATTTTTGAGAAGGTTAAATACTCTAGCAAGACTATTTCCAGAATTATGTCCCCCTTGAACTTAGATTTTTTTCGAGATATTGGTATTTTTCACTCCAACTTCTTCATCCTTATAGGATTCACTTTAAAATCCCACATTGTAATAATATGACAAGGTTGTATAAACATAATTTCCTTACTAGGCAGGGAAACTTAACACATTACTGTGATATAGACAAACTTAGAACTCAAAAGATTTAAGTTCATTCATGTCATTCATTCACTGGTAAAATTGAATGGCCAATGGCCCATCAGAATGTTGCTGGGGTTAAACCGGTAGGGGACTTATGGATTGCTTGCAATACTATGATAATTGATTGTTACCTGTAAATTTGTTTAAAAATGCATTGTCTTCATATTTGGACATAACAGTCCTTTTGGAAAGATTTATCAAAAGTAGACCATAATAATCACCTTTACTAATCAATAACCTTGACCTAGATCAAATTAATAAAATCAGTTTGATTTTTGCTACAACTGGCAATATGTATACAATAACTTTATTTATGAATGAATTTCCTTCATACATGGACATGATAATCTTTTGGACAAGACCTATAAGAAGACTAAAATGATGCTGATCTTCACTCATCATTGATCTTACCCCTTGTGGCTGAAGGGTCTTGTTTAATGGTTAAGGCATAACAATACAGCCACCATTTATCCCTGCATCATTTAACAGGCTACTAAATGGGTTCGAATTACTAGAAGTCCATGCATTTCTTAGCTCCAGCAGGTGAGGTGGTTTTGATCTGGTGTTGTGGCTTTAAAGTTTGTAACACCCGAGGTGAGCCAGTTATTTTTCCTGTTTTGGCCCAATATGACCTTTACTGTCTTGGTGTACTGTACAACCATACAATCAATGATCTTGACCTAGGTCAGCACAGATTTCGTGCTAAATTAGCTTGAATTTTCATACAACAATCTCTGGACTTTGAAGAAGATTTAATTGAACTTGTCCTTGACCTTAAACCACTTAGACAAAAAACAATATGACAAAACTGACTTAATTGCTCAAATTCATCTATGAGTTACAATACAGTATATGAGGTCAAATACTAGGTCACACAGCCCAAATATGGTAAAACCTTACTAAATTTCTATCAACATTTTTAGCCCAAATGTCCTGGAAATAAGTCATAAATGTTGTTTCTAGCCAAGTTCGAATGTGGGTTAACTGAGGTCAAAAACTAGGTCATAGAGTCTTAGTGTGGAAAGCTTTATTAAAATTTTCATGAACATGTTAATTGGATGATTTCTAGTTTAAGTTTGAATATAAGTCTTCTTAGCCATAAAAACTTGGTCAAAAGAGCCAAAATATGGAAAAATCTTATTAATTCTCTGAAGATATCATTTTCACCCTCAATATTCTGAAAATTTGTCAGAATGTGGTGGTGATGATTTCTAGCTGTGTCACTGGGGTAAGGAAAAAGGTCAAGCAGTCAAGTTATGTAAAAGCCTTGAAAAACTCACAGGTATCATTCTCTGTTCAAATGTAATTAAAATTTGTCAGAACAGTTGCTTTTATGATTTCCAGCTCAAGATTGAATATCGGTCATCCTGGATCAAAATCTAGGTCACAGAGCTTAAATTATTGAATATCCTAGATAACAATCTAGATGTGACATTTTAAGCATAAATATTCAGGAAATTTGACATAAATGTTCTTTAGATAATTTCAAGTTTGTTTGTTTGTTTGTTTCATTTTACGCCTTTTCCTAACAGTATTTCAGTCATATTGGCGGGTAGTTTCCTAACCATCGTTCCTGGAGAGTTACACCAGTACTAGACTACCTTTCTCCGTGCTAAACTACCAAAGCATCTCCCGGGGATCGAACCAACGCCAGAGAGGTAACAGATTAGAAGTCATCGACTCTAACCCCTCGACCACAGAGGCGGTAGATAATTTCAAGCTCAAATAATATGAATATGGGTCATCTGGGGTCAAAAAAAAACTGGGCCATAGAGATGAAATATGAAACAAGAGTGGCATAATGGCTCTTGTATCGCTCACCTGATTATGAAGGCTCAATCCCTATTTCAAGGATATTTAACTTGAACAGTATCCCCTAGTGTTAACAAGGGTTTTCCATATTTTGTGTGACCAAGTTTTGACCCCTTTGAACTTGACCTTGAAATCATCACAGCAACCTTCCAAACCAATTTCCTAGAAAATTGTACTGAAACAGTTGCATCTAGTGTATTAACAAGGTTTTTCATATTTGACTTAGTTTTTGACCAAAGAAGACTTATATTCCAACTTGATGAGCCACAAAATAAAAAACAAAAATGTCTTACCATTTTTTTTGGTCTCCCCCTCGAAAAGTAAATCTACTGTAAATACATTTGACAATATAAGCAGTAATGAATCATGTCACAAAATAAGTGACTTTAAACTGGCAGCAAAAAAATCCTAGACATTTTTTATTTTTCTTTTGTGGTTCGTCTGCCACTGTGAGAAAAGCATGTCTGCATACATAAATTGCTTTGATTACCCGGACTGTACATATCTAAATTCTAAATTACCAGTTATAGAACAGTTTAAAGTAGGACAGAAAATGTGCCCATAACGACACTGAATCGGTGCGCAACTTGTACATACACACAATTACCCGAAATGAATAAAATTCACATAAACAAACAGGATGGCATTAATAATAGGAGGAATAACTTACTGAAAAGTCATTCCCAATTCAGCTTGATTATCACTGACGCGCGACAAAATTTTGTGTATTTTTTTGTGAAGAAATTGGTCAGTCTCCGCTGCTTTGGAGCGGAAGGCAGTTAATTCTTTCGCGGAATATGACAACAAAATAAACTAGAACTGCCACTATCATGGCGTGAATACCCCCGCATACCACTTTGTCAGAATCAACAGTGGCCATTTAGAGCTCAAGGACAACCTCCCTGCCAAATCTGAGGTTACTAAGCCAGTGCATTGCTAAGTTATGTATTCTACATGCTTCAAATGTGAAAATGTCAAAATCAATACATTGCGGACAGGACATTCTTTAGCAATTGAGAAGAAAAGCTTTTTTTTTGTCAAGGTCCCTATGACCTTGACCTTTGATCCAGTGACCTCAAAATCAATAGGGGTCACCTTATAGTCACGATCAACATCCATGCCAAATATGAAGACTGTGGGTCAAAGGAATATAAAGTTATTGGGCAGACAAACTTTTTGAAGTCAAAGTCCCTGTGACCTTGACCTTTGACCTGGTGACCTCAAAATCAATAGGGGTCA